TCCCTCTGTCCCCCTCTTTCTCCATCACAAGGATTTCTCCTCGCCACTCACAAATTTTATCGCATTATTACACTCCGTGAAAGAACGTATTGTGTTTGTGGATATATGTAATTTTACTTATCAATAAATAAATTACAAAGGTCCACTCGCGTATCAGTCACTTCTAAGTCAGTGATCGAAGCCGACGGCGATGCGCGTCGTACACGCGGATGGAGTCATCACTTTTGGCGCGCAAACGGACGAAGAGAAAATAATTAATATATTTTACTGAACACTGTTACCATGGTGAGGAAATTAAAAAAAAAATTTTTCATTTATATCTATCAACGAACGAAATGTTGCTCGGAAGAGGTTTCAATCGAAACTTAAACTTGAAATGTATTTGACAATAAGCTCGTTAACGTTCAAGAAATTAAAATATACACGTTCACCTTGCACTTGCGGTATTCATTGAAATTTCTTTATAATCTTGAAAAATATATTTATAAGAGAAATTACGGCTGGTCAAGCTTCTAAGAACACATGCCTTTTTCTATATCTTGGTTTTATCTTTATGATTAATTCATCTAACGCAATCAGTTATCTGCGGCTCACTATATAGTACGATTACGAAGCTGCAAATTGTTATTTGTCGCGTGTTTTCGGCCAGTTTAACGAAATGCTATCGAACCATCGCATTTATTCTGATTTCGTGGTTACAATGAACAGCAAAGGCTAATCTTATGCTGATATATGTATTGGTAAGTACTATACAACCGATATCTTTAATCAATTGTTCGGTGTTTGTAATTGATTATTATTATCATAGCAATTAATGGAATTATCAATTATTGGCAAGAATTTCTAAGTGTTTGATAGGATGCCTATTATCTGGTAATTAAACTTGAAATGTATCATCTATAAATATACGTACGTCACTTGGATTGTTTCTATATCTTCATTTGAATTTCATAAAATTCCTGGTCTTGTTTTATCACATATAAGTGATCGATACATAATATAATTATAGCTCGTTAGGGTAATTTAAATGCATAGTCATCGGTCGAAATGTTTACTATTCAGAAATTTTAAAGAAATATTAATTCGTAAATAGTGCTTGTTATTTGTTTGTAAGATATTGATATCGATCGAAAAAGCATCATGGCGGCGACGGTAGACGTCTAGTAAATGTCAAATTCGAAAATAAAAAGTGACATTTCATACAGAGTGCAATGTACAAATAGATCTTTATATAAACGAGAATAATGTAGTATCCGTTATTAGTTACGAATCATTCAGAACGGATGCGTGTATCGCGTTATTGTTAACCTTATCTAAGTAACATCATGAAAGGTACAGGTACTAACGTTAATTACATTAAACAAATATTTCTTTAGCGATTTGTAGTAATGCATGCGAGATATTAAAATAGTGTCCATACTGCAATTGTATCATTAAGTATTTGTACTGTAAGAATTATTCTTTTGTTAAATAATGGTATGATAATAATATTACAGGTTCTTTACTTGTCTTTTATTGCAAAATAGTTAGTTAAAAATTTACTGTCATACAGTGAAATAACGAATAGTTCAGATGTCTCTCAATGATGACTTTGAAAGACCATTTGAAGATTGTTTGCCCCTGCAATGGGGAGCATTACAAGAATTATGCCAAGCAAATGTGGAACATTTTATGTCGCATCAAGATGAAAATGCTGTTAGAATCAGGGCAGCGCAATTGGCAATGTTGGATCACTTAGAACAATTACAACCATTATATAAAGAAATTAATAGAGTTGCTCCGATGTTTGATTTCGATGTAGAAATACCTGGGAACGGGTATAGAAGTTTTCTAGGCTTAATAGATAAATGTATTATACATTCACGTGCAATCTGTCACCAAATCTATTGTCAGAAAGATTCTATATTTTTTCGTAAAAGTTATCACATGAGGTAATTATTATACTTAAATTTATTTTATAAATAATTGGATGACTTTAATGGATAATAAGTACTTTTCTACTAATAAGTATAAATGTTTCCAGAGAAATAGAAGCTTGTTCGCAGTTATTAGCATCTTTATGCACTTGTTTAGAGCATTTACAAACTCTGTATTCATGGAGTGATAAATTGAACGATGAAAAACCATCTCTTTTTATTGCCAGTGATCATAATCCTTATGATATTTTGAATAAAATTGATAGTATTAATCAGTATTGTTTTTATGGCAGATGTTTAGGGTTTCAGGTACATATTAGTAAATACAATTATATGGGTATAATCAATTCTTATAGATAATAATAAGATAAATCAATTTCAGTTTAATGATACAATGAAGCCTATATTAAAAACTATATTGGTTTGTATGGCAACATTTAGTGAAGCATTTTATTCTAATGGAACAGTATTAGCACGATGTGCTAATTCTGTTAAATATATGTTAGACCCTGAGGCAAGGGCACGTCGTATTGTAGATCTTTTCCAACGTGCTGATGTTTCATTTTGTCAAGCTTTTTGGTTCCTTAATGAGAATGGTAAAACATTAAAATCATTTGTATTTATGAAACATTTTTCCATTATTTTGATATACTGTATGAATTACGTTATTAGAGATAGCACGTAGACTGCCAACTATAGCATCTCCATCCTTGGCAATAAATCAGATAATTTCCATTCCACCTGAAGAATTGACACTCTCTGCATTGGATGGGACAATAGTGTCAATTCCAATACCAAATAGTCATATTGGAAAGAAGCCAATTCATGTTAGATTATTGAGTTCTAAACGTCGTGTGGGAATGGTAAAGAAATCATTTTTATAATTTAATTTATTTTATAACTAGCATAAGTTGTGTTTTTTATTATTATTTTCGTCTTTACATTTTCTTTAATCGAGTAGAAATTTTTGTGAAACACCGGTTTCACTCCTGTGCAGTACATACTTCTCTCAGATTGGTTCAGGTGGAGTAGGAGGAGAACTGCTTGAATCTTCAAAAGAACTGATAATTCATTGCCATGGTGGAGGTTTTGTCGCACAGACTTCTTCATCACATGAAATATACTTACGATCCTGGGCTGTAAACCTTGATATACCCATTTTAAGCATAGATTACAGTTTAGCACCCGAAGCTCCATTTCCTAGAGCATTTGAAGAAGTTTTATATGCATATGCATGGGCTTTAAATCATGCAAGTACTTTGCTTGGAAGTACAGCGCAAAAAGTACTTCTCGTTGGTAAGTTGTAAACTGTAATTCTTATTTTCTTTTTTGTATTATTTACTATTCACAAAATTTATTTTTTGTAGGTGATTCTGCAGGGGCCAACTTAAACTTGGGTGTTACATTAAAATGCATACAATTAAATATAAAGAAACCAAATGGGTTATTTATGGCATATACTCCAGTTTTTGTGGATTTTGTGCTATCGCCTTCACGTCTTCTTTCTCTGACAGATCCGTTATTACCTATGGGATTTCTTGTGCGTTGTTTAAAAGCATATGCAGCTATAGATAACAAAAAACTAGCAAAGTAAGTTATGCACAAAAAGGTAACTTTTATTTTTAAATAAGAATATTGTTTGTTGTTTATGTTCGATTTATTGAACTTTTAGAGAAAAAGAAAATGATGGTGCGGAATGTACGAAGTCCGACACAGAGTCTTTTGCAGAAGTCAGTGAAAGTGATTTAATAGCGTTAGCTCTAAGCCCTAATGGGGATGAAACAAATGACGCCCACAAGTTAGCGTCTTTACCCTCTGATACCACTTTGAATTCCGTTAGTTTAACGGATGCTGATGGTAAAAAGATTAAAAATATATAAATAGTTTTATTTGCAAATTTTAATTGAGTTGACTTTAATGTTTTCATTGATATTCTTGACTACAGTAGGAACAGAGAATATAACAGAAGGAGTAAAATCTCAAGAATATATTAAAAGATTTTTGGAGTTATATCGAAATTCTGGTATAAATGCTGCAGCATATATTGGAAATAGTACTGTTAGCACGAACAATGATGTATCGAAAAATGGCAGATCATGGTCACTTTTTGGATGGTCGTTTAGAGGAAAGCATAGAGAATCTCGAGAATTGGATATAGAAACTGTAAAGTGTCCTGTGGAAGAATTTATATTCACCGTACCCAGGGACCCATTTTTAAGTCCTTATCTTGCACCAGATAATCTTTTAGCACAATTACCGCCAATCGCAATGCTGGTGAATCTTTAAAATTATAATTTTACATAAAAGATAGGAACGTAATATCGTATACTTAAAGGTAATATCGAATACTTAATTTCTATTTGTAGACATTACATCTCGATCCGTGTCTCGATGATTCCGTCATGTTTGCAAGAAAACTACGATTGCTTGGTGTATTAGTCACGCTTGACATATTACCCGGTTTACCGCATGGATTTCTTAATTTAATACTGGTAAAAAAAATCATTTGTAAGAAATAAATGCAATAGGCAATTATAATGTTATATCACTACGTTTGATTTTAATTAACAGGTTTCAAAAGAAGCTAACGAAGGATCTGAGTTATGTGTCAGAAGAATACAAGAACTACTGGCATTATAGTTACATGCATGCGGCCGTATTCATTAAAGCGTAAATGTTGATATATGGGAACAAGTTTCTTTACTGCTGTTTTCTAAATGTTATTTATAATGATTTTTTATACAAGTGTCTAGAATAATTTGCAATACATATTTTCTTTTATTCGCAGTGAGCCATACAAGTATTTATACCCATAAGGTCAGTGATTTCAAATGATCGATATTTTAACAGAACTTGTATGAGATTAATATTAATATAATCAAATTAACTGTTAAAAATTTTACATGTTTTAATATTTTTTTTTGTTGAAGTTTTTATAA